GTGTGAGCGAAAGAGGAATGAAAGGATATTCTGCTCAGTGCACTCCTGCATGCACTGAGAGAAAAGAACGGACTGTGAGAAAACCGCACTGGTGGCAGCATGATGACCGCTCTGTAGAACCCGATGAAAGAGAGACCAGAGAGAGACACCAGAATAAGAAATGGACAAATGGAAACAGACAGTGGGAGAGTGGGAGAAGAACTGATGCCTCATATTGACCAGTGAAGAAAACCTTTAGAGCAGCCAGAGAAACATCACCAAAAACACGAACCCTTAAAAACAGCACATCTTAAAGTCAACTCCACATTTATGCTACAGCCAATCAAATACATCTTTTAAACACCTATCCCACCGGAGACAAATCAGCAGAACAACACTTTTAAGCCTCTAAAACCAATAAAAGACTTGCAGCGTCTTTTATTAGTCAGGGTTTTGCTTTTCTAATGCAATTTTCAGTCATTTTATTGAATTATCTGGAGGCTGCAAGCAATTCAGTAGAAAGTGTAAACTAGTGCTTACAAAGCACAGTTACAATACACAGAGTACTTAGTGGATGAGGAAAAGCAGGTGGAAACTCTGAGAACTACTTTTAAACTCTCAGCTTCACTCTGGGATCCTCTGCATTCCAGTGCTTGCTGATAGGGGTGGGCAATATGATAATATTTAGCATCATCGTGATAAATTATGTCACATTATGTCACAACATGCTGTTTTAAGTTGTCAGTACTTAGAAAACACTGATCAACTGTATGTTTAATTAGAACGAGAGCATAATTAGGCATGCCTAATTGGATTTAGTGCAGTACAGTATGTGATACTGTACTGCACTGTACTGTCATTGTGGTGACTGTTGTAGTCTCCCCTGCTGATCTGGTCTGCCCTGACATCATCACCTGATTTAAATAATTTGATTAGATCCTGTTCAGCTACAGCAGTGAGAGCCACTTTGTGTAACGCCAGTTTATTTAACACCTTATTTTATTCAGAGCTTTTTCATAGGGTGAAACACTGGCCTATGAAACAGCATCTATGATACAAGAGGTGGACTAGTTCAGCAGGGGGACCACCACGATCACCACACTGCCACGTTAGTTACTGCAGTGATTAGAGTTAATGAACTGCAACAAAACCTAATTTGTCATATTTGCAGAGGTGGCAAGTAACAAAGTAAAACTACTTTGTTACTGTACAAAAGTAACTTTTTAGGTATCTGTACTTTACTTGAGTTTGAATTTCTGTCATTTAATTCTTTTTTACTTTTACTCACTACATTTTCAAAACAGTCTGCTTACTTAAGTTTTATCAATGTAAATTAATCAATTTATTCATTTATTCATAATAAATTAATATTAATTTTCAATTAATATTAATTTATTATTTATAGTGTAATATATTTTTAATCAGGCAATTATATTCAGGTACCTAATGAAGCCCAAATTGGAATTCTGGCTACTTTCACGCTTACAGGCCCCAGTGATTAGCTTTCGGAAAAAGGCATACAGAAAGAAACAAAGCGACAGCGTTAAGCTAGCGCTCACGGACGATGCTTCTGAAAAAAAATCTGCAACCGTGCCAGAGTGGGTGATGAGGAGAGCTGGGAGAGTTCCAAGTGGGCCGCTTACTGTGAACTAATGTATAAACGCACACATATAAGCATAAGAACACTCAAACTATATCACACTCAAGTGTATATCTGTGGTGATATAGCCCCGATTTGCTGATTGTAACTGAGACTTGTACAGAAGGTTTTCTGCAAATGTGGTACTTTCAGTACTGTTTTAATTGACTTTGTGAAAATGTCAAAACAAACATCTAACGTTACTCCAGTACATCAAGTCATCACAGGTAAGACCATAAATAGACCATAAACATGTTTTATATCCGCATATATGCTTTTGTCTACAATGATTACGTTTAGGTGTTTAAGATTGCTGAGTTGTATTTCCTGTCTTCACATCAGCTGTTTAATTCAACTATTCTATTCTATTCTATTCTATTCTATTCTAACTTTATGAGGCACTAAAGAACATAAAACCCAGTGGCTTCTTTTATAACTGTTTCGAGTCAGCAAGTTCCCTGTTGTTTTACTAAGTACAGGGCAATGTGTCGACATTATTGCCCATGGCAATTGACCATATGCTACAGATATGGCGGACAGAGATTAAGGTAAATGCTAGAAGTAAGTGAGATGCAGCAGTTTCAGTTGATTTTCCAACCATTGGTGTACTCATAAAAAAGGAATTCTAAATTAATACATTAAGACATTAACGGACCTCGCCGAGGGAGTCGGGGCACTAATTGAAGACTTTATGGTGTGCAAGAATAGGCTGCTCACCAGTCGCAGACCCCTAATTGTGTTCAGATATCCCCACTGCGGTGCTGAGTCATTGAGATTCTGCTGGCTCTGCATAGGCCGCGCACAGGCCCCTTCTCCACTTTACATTCATAGGCAGAGGCTTGTCAGGGTGCAAGGCCCACAGCCTGAGTCCCATGGTCTCTTCTGCTCATTAGCAGCTCTTCCTCTGAGCAATAACAGCCAGGCTCCACTATGCCTCCCCTCACACACTCGACAACAACTTATCGCCTAAATATCACACTCAGGAACACGGCAGCATCAAGCAGAACAAATGCTAGAGGAAATGAGTTACAGTAGGGTGTGATACACATCTTGCATTTAGTTCGTAACACGGTGCCACAGTTGTGGAATGTGTGAATTCCAAACAAGCTGGGTGTTACTGGAGGTAGACAGCTAACAGTAGCACTTACCATGATTAATACACAAGATTGATAATTAAACTGGCAGTTTATACAACATGGCATGATTTATAGTGCCTGCAAGTGACCCAGTGGCTCTAGCGGAGAAAGACTAAAACCTGGAGGTCCGATGTACTACCATTTTCAGGACACATCCTACCTGTGTGTTTCGTACGAAACTGGTGCACAAGCCTAAACAGTAAAAAAAAATAAAAAAAAAAAGATGCTAAATGCACTTGCATCTGCACAAAATGTGAGAGGATCACAAACAGTGGATGGAGATATTACTCCAGTAGCCGATTGCATATCTTTCACTCAATAAAATTTGAGCAATTTGTCAGTCTTCCTCTACTTTTAAAACCAGACAGAAGTTTGCACTAGGGGCTTCAAAGACCTGTTGAGAGACTTAACAAAGGAATGAAATACTAAATACTGAAATACAAAAGAAAAGACGCACTAATGTTTTGAGTACAAATTAATAAAAGATAACTTTAGCTTGGAACGTAATTAGTAAACAAGATATAAGTTGTATTCAGAGTGTCTCAATACTCATTTTGAGCACTGTATACACACTGACTGTCCATTTCATTAAGTACACCCACTTTGTAACTACACACACTGTCCATTTTAATCAGCTTCACCTACCACATCGTTGCACTTTGTAGTTCTACAATTACAGACTGTATTCTATCTGTTTCTTTGTATACTTTGTTAGCCCCTTTTATCCTGTTTATCAAAGATCAAGACCCCCAGAGCAGGTGTTATTTGGGTGGTGGATCGTTCACTGCTGGACTGAGAGTAGTCCACCAACCAAAAACAGCCAACAGCGTCCTTTGGGCAGCGCCCTGTGACCCCAGATAAAGCACTAGAGGATGACTAACACAAACTATGCAGCAACAGGTGACCTACTGTCTACCGTTTACATCTACAAGGCGGGCCAACAAAGTAAGTGTGTCTATTAGAGTGGACAGTGAGTGGACACAGTGTTTAAAAAGTCCAGCAGCACTGCTGTGTCTAATTCACTTGTGCCAGCACAACACACACTAACACACCACCACCATGTCAGTATCACTGCAGTGCTAAGAATGATCCACCACCCAAATAATACCTGCTCTGTGGTGGTCCTTCATTTAATAACATGAATATCTCGTCACTGTACCTGTTAAACACTACATCTCAGGCATTATTAGTGGGAGGAGAAACATGCAGTTTGCGTGATAAGCAGCAGTCTTGCTAAATCGGACAGAAAGTTCAGACACTTTGTGGGCGCACAATGTGGTCACAACAAGGAATATATTGCACTGCGCATGCACTCGTACGTATAACAGAGCCTTAGTGCTAGAAACTCGACTCTGACTCACATCCAGCAATTTAATCCTCCATCCTTTAGATACAGCCATAACACTGATTTTAGGCCTATATTCATACAGGGAGTCTATTTCCTTCTACTATTTTTTAGGGTTATAATATAATTTCACATGAGTCATTCGTCCTCTTTGAAGGTGCTCCAACACTGGATGTGAACACTGCACTCCTACAGAGACTGAATTAGATCATCAGGGCCTTCGGAGGCAGTGACAGATTTTCTATAGCACTTAGCCCTGTTATACTGTAGGCCTATTACTCATTAATGCAGCCGGGGAGAGAGGAAGAATACACTAATGAACAGATCAACTCACTCAACTCTTCCACATCTACATCTAGGAATTTGCAGTTTTTTTTTGTATGTATCAGAAAAATCACGTTTATATAGTGAGCAAACACAGACACAACTCAAAGCGGGTACTTTAAATGGCCGATAATCAGGGAAACTGAATCTTCAATTTTTTTAAATAAAAAATTTTAATGCAGTATGTAAACATTGTTAAACTTTCAGTACTATCCATTCTACAGTCAAAGCAATCCAATCTGCAAAAACAACCTGGTTTGAATTCATTGTTTCTGTGAGGTAACCAACCAGCACACTGACATATATCTGCCTTTTCATTATTTTCCATAATACAGGGCAGCAAATCAGAACAAAAGTCATTTGTATATATCAAAGTAACAAAAATAGTGTGTTTGATTGTAAGGGATACCAAGTGAGTGGAAATGGTCTTGTAAAAATTATCTATGGCTGTTTTTGGAACATAACACAACACACACACACACACACACACACACACACAAATATCATACAATAAATCTCAGGAAATATGTAGCATATGGGCTCTTCAATGCAAATGCACACTTTGAAACACACATACCTGAGTGTTTCAGTCCACTTCAGCTCCAGCTCCAGGGCCATTTTATCCATTTTGAGCTTCTCCTCTTCTTTGGTGGCTATAAGTTTTGCCTCATGCTGCTGCTTCTGGGTCTCCATCTCTCCCTGGTGGGGGGTGAACGGGAGGGGTAGAGAGAGAAGCCAGGTGAGTGATAAGCTGTACATTGAGTAACCAGTTTTTTACCTACCTCATAGCTACACGCACTGGCCATTTTATCAGAAAATAAAATTCACTTTGTAGGTATGCAGTTACAGACTGAAGCCCATCTGTTGCTTGACAATTATTATCAGTCCCTCTGTATCAATCATGAATGGAAAGGGACCTCAATGGGACCACTGACCAGATATTATTTGGGTAGTGCACTATTCTTAACACAACAGTCATAGTGCCATGGTAGCGATTTGTAGGTGTCCAATGAATACAGCTTATGTTTTTCCATGCAAAATTTTGAGTTCAGCGAGGTCTCCAATTCCAGACCTAGTTTATGGTCCTAGATTCTGTGATCAGTGGTACATATGACAACAATTAACTACTTGGGACTGCAAAGTCCAGGATTGGGAACTGAATTTAGAACCTCTAAACCTTCATCAGTGGTCAATTTCTGACCAAACAACTACTGTTGAAACCTGTGGCGAAATGAAAAATACAACAAAGGAGACCTTGAACTGCTGATCAGCTAAAATCCTATAGCATGCAAGAACAGGAAAACATTTCACTTTTAAAACTACAGCAATTGGTCTCCTTTGTTCCCAAATGTAAACATGGTAAACATACCCCTGTGCCAACTTTTTTGAAACGTGTTGCTGACATGAAATTCAAAATGGGCATATGTTTCAAAAAGCAATAAAATTTCTCAGTTTCAACGTGAGACATGATGTCTTTGTACTATTTTCAATTAAATACATTTAAATTAAAATGATTTGCACATCATGGCATTCTGGAACCAAACGGAGCACAGTGAGTAACATCAGCGTCCCACGAACAGAAGACTGAAATTCGATTCCTCATCCAGGCTTCAACACCACTGCTATACCAATAAGTCCTTGGGCTAGACTCCCAATACTACATTAACATACTATTATAAGTCTTCTAAACCATGTGAAATATTTACATATAGTAATGTAGATGTTTACAATCATTGTTACATCTGATTTAGTAGTATCATGGCTGTGTAAATTTAATCAATGATCTGTATATACAGTGTATATCTCCAGTGTAGATCTGTAGACATAGTGAACTTGTTTTAAAATACAAAAAAATGATTGATTATTAATATCAATATAAACTACAACACGGTGTTAATTACTGGTTATCCTATCAGCCCAGAAATTCCATATCAGTGCATCCCTGACTGACTCTGCATCTCATATACAGCAGAAGGTGGGGAGGACTGGGAGCGCCCTCCTCATTCACAGCCATCAATCAATCCTGAGAGTCACAGAGAGGTAAGCCAGAACAGGAAATAAGAAGCAGTCCCTGACTCATCCATCCTCATTTGCACCAGAGCTCTGCTCCACGCTGGCATCTACTCGCTCACACACACTCACACAAATGTGGAGCATTATGCAAGGTCACTGAGAGCGCTGAGCTGGCTGGTCAGGGGAACGAGAAGTTCCAGTATGAAGAGCTCACTCTAATGAAGTGCCTCTGCCACACCATCACCAGAGCCCAAAACGCCACAATCCATAATTCAGCTCAGCACCTGTCACGCATCTCACTCCAGCCATCTCATTACAGCTGTCATCAACATCAGTATTCATGGAAAATGAGAGCATGACTGACAAGTGGACTATACTTCAGAGCAGAAAGCAATACACCCCGTCCTTAGCCCGACTTATGTATGACATTTCCTCCATTTTTCCAGCGATGAAAAACATCTTTACAAATAATTCCCAACAACACCAAAGTCACTGGAGGGCAATAAAACCTCTAACGGATAAGACGACCACATAAAATCCTTTAATTTTTAATTGTTACTTGTCAATTCTTTAGCAATCTCTTTAATGTATAATTAATTAAAACATTTCTTTATCTTACTAAAGAGCAACAGCAGTAAAAGTTCAGAAAAATGTAACAAGAACACAATTGGTTACTTTATCATGGGTTCTATTGATTGTTTATGAGGGTCAACAAGAATAATGTCATTACACTAGTTTATTTCCATATCTGATCTGTCTGAAAATAAACGAGTTTGTTGCTCTGAGGGCATGGCTAGAGCTTAAAATCGTAAAATCATATTCTCATTAAGTACCGCTAGTTAACTTCTTCATGGTGGTGAGGTGCCAGTTTGTTCTTAAAGCTGATAAATGTATAGTTTATATGCTAAGTTAATGATAGCTAACTATCCAGCTATCATTTTGCAGTGCTGTTGGTAACTTAGGTAATATTAGTGCTAAGCTAGCCACTGTTACCCTGTTTTATGGTTGTTCAGATAATGTCTTTTTGTGCTGGATCTGCCCAGAACTTTGAAGACGATAAGAGAAGAGAGTGTGCCAAAAGTTCATGACATTGCTCTTTAAAATAATAACTTTATGAAATGCTTAAATACATAGTTTTCACCATGGGCTACAAAATCAATACTCCATGACTAAAAAGAGGTATTATTTTGACTGGCTCCACAAGAGACACTCTCGATAGATTCATGGCTTGTGTTTCTGACCTGCAGGGCTGTTAGGAGATTAGTGGTTTCTCTCAGTCTGGCCCGGGTGGCATCTAACTCTTCTAGAAGCTTCTCCTGGGCTTCCTTCAGGCTGGAGATGTGACCCATTGCAGAGCCCAGCCCCTGCTCTCCCTCTTTCACCAGGTCCTGCAGACGGCTCACCTGGGAGAGAGACAGAGAGAGAGTTAATTCAAAGACCCATGAATCTGGTCTATAGTGTCACATCTAACATTCAAGGAAAGACAAAATTTTTCAAAACTGTAGATGTTTATATTATATATATATACATATACACATATATGTATATATGTGTGTGTGTGTGTTATATAATGTATTATATTATATAATATATAAATATATATTCTATATTATATTGGACTCCTAGAAAGACAAAACTGTCCAGATTAGCACTAGTACTAGTTAGCATTAGTACTTAAAGCTTTCAGCTTTGAGAGAGAGGAGATAATAGCTCCCCTTTTGCTTCAGATCCGAAAACATCCATAGGTTTTTCTGTCCATCTCAACACTATGAGTCTGAAAGGATGTGTAGGTGTCAAGAAACCCTTACTAAGAAAAGCAAATAGACAAAAACAAAGGGAATTTGAATTAGAATGACTACAATGAGACGAAACTGGACATCTGAGATGTGAAGTGAGGTTTTATGGATTGATGAGTCTAAATTTTTATTTGGAATTACTTGGATCATGAGAGGTTTGAAAATGCAACCAGACAAGACTGAACTTTGGAGATGTGGAAAAATGTCCCAGCAGATTTCTTTAAAAAACTGAAAACTGAGAAAAATGGAAAGGCAAAGCGTGGACACACTAAATACTAATTTGACAACATATATTCCTAATGCTGTACATAACCTGTATTTAATTGTTAATTTGACTGGATATTAAATAAATAAACGGTGGTCTCTAACTTTTGCACAGCATTTCTTTAGGTCACTAATATTTGGTCACTGTTCAACCATGAAACACTGCAACACTCCTATCTGTGCGTCTAAAGTTAAAAGCTAACTATAGCCTGTTTTCTCATTGTTAGGAAACGATTATGTATCAAACTCATTCAGACTAGTGCTTGAAAATATGCTTCATGATTCCATGGAAACAGACTATTTAGCCTACATGGAGTGGTACAACATGTTTCTCGCAGTGTCTGCTTTTTCAAAGAGCAAATCACTGAAAAATAACCAGAAATTGTTCAAAATATATTTATTCAATCTATAAATGACATATGATAGTGTTTTACAATTATACTGTTATATTCCAGGGGCTTGTTTGAATATTATTTTATGATAAAAAGACTTGAATTAAATAAGGAAACAAAAAGCAGTTATGGCTAACACCAAAGAGGCATTTCTTCACAGTCTACAGCAGTAGTGGGGCAGAGAAAACCAACTCTGAGAGCAGAGAGCCTATTAAAACCCAGTGAGAGTAATGGGACGCTAAACACACAGCACTGAAATTAATCACTCAGAAACGGCCCCCACACCCATCTGCCCGCTGCACAGCTCCAGAGTCACAGAGCCAGCAATGCTAGAACTGCACTCGGCACTTGCAGCTTCCCAGCAGGATTCAGACTCCACAGGCCAAGAGTGGGGACATATTGACTTTTCTTGAATTTTTTTTTTAAATATATTTTGATTTTCACTGTTATGTTTTAGTTAAGAAAGCCAAAAAGAACCTGCAAAGGTTTTGCTAACATAACTACCATCTGCTAATGGTTATATTTTACTATATAACTTCAACTCTCAGCCTAATGTTCATCTAGGTATCTTCCTTGGTATGAAGAGCGGTTCATAGTGGTGGGGATAGAAACCAGACGTCTGAAAAGTTTTTAAAATTTTTAATTTCCCACTGTTATACCATCATTAACATGATAAAGCTCAGAACACATGCAGATTCACTGTTAGTTTTGGCAAGTACATAATATATCTAGATTTGTGTTGTAGACATTGTGGGTAAGGGTGTCCCAATTTTAGTTGAGATAGAGGGGTAGGGCGAAGTATTAGGGCTACATGGCCCTCCAAACGGAGGTTTTTCAGAGGCTCACTCCAAACGGAGTGTTATGAAAAAAAAGAATAACCGGCAAGATGGCTGCGCGAGCGACCGAAGAAACCCATAAATGTGACAATTTTATCCTTTAAAAAAATACGATAACTATTGTATTATCTTAGTTTAATGTCGCTTCAATGTATTATGGTCGTTTTCTTCATAACAAGCACAAAAAAATCGCTAATAGCATGCTAATTTCTCAGTAGCTAGCTAACTTTCCCGTTCCACCTTAAATAGTCCGGCAGTATTGACGCCAGGAGCGCCAAAATGTAACTGCTGCACCATTTAAGGTGGAACGGGAAAATTCGAACAAGAAGCTAGCGAATAGATGACTTCAGCTTTGTATCACCAAATAATTGGAGTGGGTGATAATAAATGATTGTCTTATCCCCCTCTGTGAAGGCATATGATGCCCTACATGTAACTAAAGCCCAGCAGTGAGGTTGCTGAACTTTTCCCTTCTCTGCTATCACTGAAGACGCGCTGGGTCGCCTGCTGCTCTGCTCTGCGCTAGTAGGTTGTTAATGAAGCGATGTTTTGTTTTTTTTTTCACTCGAAAACAAGGGGTAGGGGTAAAAAGAAGAAATGGGATTGGGCCTAATTAAGTGCCTCTGACACTTCTGCAAAGCTAATGGCTTCAAAACATTTGATGGACAGTGTATTAAACATACTCCAATATATAAAATGACAGAACGAAGCACATACATTCTTAAATGGTTCCTAGCTTAAATGGTTCTAGAGAAAAATAGTGACACAGAATTTTTACTTGACGCAGGGTTTCCAAACTAGTGGTTTGTGGTGTCACTGGAGGTTCAAGAGAGTGTGATGGAAATGTCACTGTTAAAGTACATTTTAAAAATATGTTTAAATACTAAAAAAATCTAAATGTAACACTTTGTGACCTCTTTTTTGTGAAGTACAAAAAAGGTAACAATTCCATTCAGTAACGATTCATTCAATAATAACTGAATGGATCATGTCATGTGACAAAGGCTGTTCCATACATAGTATGGAAGTAAATATGCAAACCTACCCCAACTCATTTTTTTTTCTTTTTTTTGCTGTTTCTTTCAACATTTGCCTACCTAAAATCTCAAGGAATGCTTAATGCAAATAATATGCCTTGAAAGAGCTTAGCTGATGCAAAAGTAGCCGTAAAAAGCTATTCCCACCTGTATCGGAGGAGATCCCTCCATTTTTGCACCATGTATTTTCTTCTTCAATAACACTGATGGAATACACTTTGATGGAAATGTGTATGATTTACAAAATCATCAACATTTATATAAGTGTCATGTTGGAATGCTAAATACAGTTGTATGTGATTTTTTTGGTGTAAAGAAAGCTGCAGTTGTGCTCTTGGTTTTATCTCAGCCCGGTTGGAGAGATGTGTATTGTTTTCACAGGGGGGTTCTCAACCCTCTGCTTCACACCCCATTGCTCACTAGCAGCTCAACACAGAGTCACATTTTGCACACAGAGAGCCAACAGTGTCCTGGTTAATCTGATAACAGAGGAAGAATATTTTATTTGCTTATATTCATTAAAAATATCAGAGTTGACTTCTGTTCCGCCTGTGGAATGTCAACTATTTGGCCTGCAGAAAGAAGTTAAACTTTTCATAGGTTCTTCAGACTCACATTTTTCATTTACAAAAGTGGTCCTTTAAAGTACCATCCATTAAAAAGTTATCTGGGGAGTCAGAAGTGGTTCTTTTATGCTACTGTATTAGAAAACTCTTTCTGGTTCTATATTGTACCTTTATTTTTAAGTGTGTACCCACCAACCCCAGGTTTTACACTCATGAATATTGTGGAGTGAATGCTCAAGGTAAGCAGAGGCAGTAACCGGAGGTGTTCTCACCTCGCTGTTGGCCATGTTCAGCCTGGTGGTGAGCTCCTCTCTCAGGCTGTCCAGCTGCTCCCGCAGATGCTTCTTCTGCTCCTCCAGTGAACTGCGCTCCTTCTCAAACTGCTGCTCCATCTCCTGAGGAACCAACATAACATCCCCTGTAAGAAACAGCACTGGGCTAAGGTTAACAAATTTGTGAAAAAAATCATTCAGATTTAACAGATGCCTGTAATTTGTCAGTGTTTCTGAAAGATGGAATAATCAGAGATCATACCACATCGCTGTCGCAGAGCAATCAATCACTACTAAAGTTGTGCAGCGTTTAATGGAAAATGTAATTTCAAAGTGACATGTAAATGCAGTGCCTCTGGGAGAACGCTTAATATCAAGCCAAGAAAATGAAAAAGGAGAGCACAAAGTTTACCTTGCAAAGACAAGGCTTTCTTGTGAACAGATTAATAAATGCTGTATTTGATGATGAAGGTGAGGACCTTTCCCGCAACACAATATTAGAAAAAGGAAAACAGAGCTATAAATTATAAGCGCTGTGACATTTTTCATATGGAAGAGGATCTTTAAGAGTGTCACCCACACATAGATATTTCTGTTAGAGGATGACGCCAGCGCTGTCTAATGCATGAGTGAAGTGTCACAGCATGGAGCGCCGCAATGAAAGATGTTCTTTTTAAGTCTGAGAGATTGAACATCTGTCAGTTTTCGGTTTCATGGCTAGGATGTAAAAATAAAATACCTGTATAATTATTGTAAATTACTGCCTTTGTAGAGAACCGCAACAAAATTACAATCATTAGAATAAATTATAATTAATGAAAAATATGAGCCAATTAATTCAAATTTACATATTTATGCAAATGCACAGTACTGACATTAGTTGTTAGTATGAATGATTGCAAAACACAGCAAAGTGGCATGTAATTGGGGCCTCTAGGGAGAAGCAAGCAATCTGAATGCACCGCTGTTTCAAACTGAGCTGTTGCTGAAATGAGTCAAATGATTCAGCAAGATTTTGAAGATGAAACAGACAATATTATCACATTCGCACCTTCACAGTCATTCAGCTGTTTCACAGTCATGCTGGATTTTCTAAAAGCAGAGCCAAAAATGATTGTGCTGTCTTTGCCAAAACAAGTTCACGCAACACGTCCTTCTGTGAAAATATGTACACATTTCTTCAAAGGAGCTTTCCACATGTAGAGGAGTAGACTGTCAAAGAGAGAGACCCTACGTAAGGCTGATAAATAATTAATGGCTCGCACGCCTGTGCGCCGAGTATAGCGAGCAAGTGTGCATAATTTACCGCATCCCAAACTTCGAAGCACACAAATATGCAAATGTGACCTCATGTATGTTTTATGGAACTGCATCTATCGGAGCACATGCAGGGTGAGGCAGGATCTAAACACGGGCCGACCCCGACCGTGCAACCCACACGCAACATTATCACAAAAATATGACATTGCGATACAATGTATAGTAACTAGGCATGTGCCAATATCAAAATGTGACAGAATGATAATTACCTAACTTTTTACCAATAATTTAATCATTGAGACGTGTCATTCAGGTTAATCTGACATGAAATGGTGCACTGTAGAGAGACTCAGATTTCTTTACAGTGGTGATGATAGCAAGCAGAGGTCACGATATCTACAACATGAATATAGCCATTTTACTTACCATCCAGTGAACCTACATGTGTCTTCTGAGTTTTTATATGTTATGTTGATAATGGTAGTGCTAAATCTGAAAAATACTCTATCCTTGGTTACTATTCTTCCTTTATTATCTCTCCACATAAATGTGTTCTAAAAAACACGTTTAAGACCAAAACACATAATGTTTGTTCCTAATATGTCATCACTTATTTGAAAAATTCTATCAGTTTTTTCTTATTGTTCTTTTGAAAAACCAACTTTTCTACCATATCCAAGCTTTTTTTTGCAGACATTTTTTTTTTCAATTTAAAACTGCTACTTGTTTGACTAAAATTAAAAGAGAACATAAAAATATACTGAATATCACAGCATATCTTGTTATGGAATATTGGCACATGTCTAATCATGACATCTAGTTTATCTGAGACACAATGTAAGGCCAAAAAACAAAAACTCTGACATTTTATAAGCTGTTAACAATTACTGTGACAAAATACAATGACAGCCCATCAGCACCATGTTACTATGTGGTTCATATGACAATGTAACACTATCGGTTGTTTACAGACAATTAGTCTAAACTTTTTTAGCATGCAATTGGCCAGTCTTCTAGAACTACTGATGTTAAACCACTCGTGAAAGCTTATCATGACATAAATTATCCTGACAACGATATCATATAGTCACATTGCCCAACGCTACTCCCATAGTTCACATTCTGTCACAGGAGAGGTGAGTCACAGCCCAGCTTTGGATGCGCCTGACAAACCGCCCAATGCTCCACCCACCCAGCCCAGGGGGAGATAAAGAAGGAGAGTGAGGAAGAGGAGGAGCAGCCCCAAGCTGGGTCTAAAATAGGCCGTTGGAGCGCTCGTCATGCTGCTTCTGTACACGGCGGTGAGTCAGCTCTGCGCTCCAGCGTAAGCCTCTCTCCTTCATTATTCATCCGCTCCTCAATTTTTCACTCGGCATTTCCATTTCTGAGAGTGGCGGGCAGCACGGAGCAGCGCATGGGCGATAAGCTCCAAAGCCGTGCTGTGTTAATGAGATTCAGCGTTTAGAGCCACAGCCCCATCCGGGACACCCCCAGCCCCCTCTCCGGAGGACCAGGCCCAGTATGCCTGCAGGCGATAAGGGCAGCGAGGGCCATGGGACAGAAAAGGTGAATCTCAAATAATACTCAACCATAACTGCATGAGTTTAAACCTCAGGGACCAGAAAGAGACAGATTTGAGCTGGAGGGACAGGAAGCTCCCAGATTCACTCTGGCTATGTGTCAGAATATACCCTTTTCACAAAATCTGCAATAATAGGTTATTAAAGTTATATTATGGAAAAATTCTACATATTGTTTATTAAAAAAGCACTTTATAATGCCCAATAAGAGCCTTGAATTCAGAGCTTTGAATCTAGTTTCGGTCCTAGTTGGCCAATAAGTTACATGAACAGTAATGACCAGTGATCACGGAATGGAGGACCTCTACTCTAAAACGTTCATATGATACACACAGCCATTTCAACAGATACATTTGGAGATGGATTAACCCCTTAAACAGTCAGGATTTGCCAGAAGGTCCAAGCTTTTTTCTCACTCCTATAATTTGAAAAGTATTTAGCCAGTTTGCATTGCTTTTAATGTAGTTACTGAATACCATGCCTTAGGATGCCACAAACCCTGGAACTGAAAAGGTTAACCCCGCCCCCTTACACTTCCCCCAAACAACAGTGGTGAAAAATTCTACATATTAAACCGCTTTTGCACCACATGATACCAGCTTAACTCAACTAGACTCTACTCGCCTTTTTTGGTTTTCCATTAGACAAACCTGTTACCTGGTACTATTTTTGTGGTTCTAAGCAAGCTAAGCTGACTCCAAAAGGTGATATGGGAATCTACAGAGCACTGATTGGTCGGAGTGAAATGTCACCATCACGCTAAACACATTTGCCATTGTTACATTTGCTAGGTATTACTTTTGGTAATAACTGCCTGTTGATCCTCTGGCTTTTCTTTTGTTATCATTTTTTCTTTTTACTAACCCACTTTAGATTTGAGTTTCAGTTATCTGTGATGTTGGAATAACCATGCTTACACTGGTTGTCTGAGCTCTGTCAAAAATAGTCAGGAGCTAACTGAATTTTACTTCATACACATCTACACAGAAAACAATTATCTGAAATCTCTGAAAACTCAAGCAAGGGCTCCTGGCCAACCTATTATAAATCTACAGAGATGATGATGCCAGTCCAGGACCCCCTGGTTGCCAGGGCCCTTTACAAATGCCCAGTAGGCTTGATTGGTAATCTGGCCCCGAATACTCTACAAGAAGCGTAGGAGGTGATATGTTTTGTTGTATCATAAACAAAATTATAGCTTGTTGCACAGATGGAACTTGAAATGATGGAGGCACTGTGATGAGCACAAACTGAGAAATGAATGAAACAGTGATTTTATTTGTTTTGCTTATATTTGCAAGTTACTATGTTTTGTCATACTTTGCTACTCTGAAACACGCATGCCTTAACGTAGACACATTGCAAAAGGATGCGTTGTTAAGGATGTGACTAAAAAGGCAGAGATAGTGTTGCTTTTATTGCTAAATGGCTAAGCTAATGTTAACATTAGTTGTAGAAATAGTTAAAATATAACGTCATACTAACATAATGGCACATACGGAGCCCTGCTGATGACATCCCGTTTACATGTGGGAATGAGGTCGTAATGCGTGGCCACAACTTAGTAAGGTGTGGGAACGAGAAAAGTAAGTCATGGCCACAACTTAGTAAGGTGTGGGAAAGAGAAAATTAAGTCATGGCCCCAACTTAGTAAGGTGTGGGAACAACATCATGCCTTATTAAGCTGTGGTCAAGGCTTAATCATCTCATTCCCACGTCTTACTAAGTCATGGCCACAACTTAATTATCTTGGTTCTTTCTCCATGTGGTGGCTGTAAGTTTTAACAAGGCACCTGAATGAAGTGGTATTTACCAGTTTGGTATACACAATGTTCAGATGAGCAGCATAAGACTCAGCCAACACACACAAACAAACCCACACAGACAAACACACATTCAAACAGCCGATGTGTGAGTTAGTGTTTGTCCTCACACTGTTGTTTTCTCATTAGAGTGACCTCAAAATTAACTTGCATTTGTGGCCAAAGTAGCTGCTAATTGCCATTGTCTGTCTGCTCCATTGTTTAGAGAAAAGCATTTCATTCACCCTTACTCATCAAGGGGCAGCAAACTAGCTGCAGTCTGTGCGATATGTAATTGCTAGTAGATGAGAGGGTTTGTGGACGTTTTGGAGCATGATGTGTGGCTCCGTTGGCAGAAGCATGGTGGAGAGACAGATGACAGATTGTGTCTTGGCTGAGCAAATCAAGCACGGCTTTGTGGGTTTCTCTTTTCATATGCTATCAGCTGAAGATATCAAAACAGACAGGCTAGTCATGTCAT